ATGCTGATGGGCTGTTTTTCTCTGGGTGGAGTAAGGAAAGAGGACCGAGTCAGGCCTAAACCTGCAGGACAAACTATAGGACATGTTTAAATCATCCAGATAACAACAAACCTTAACTCTAAGGACTACAAAAGCAATTTATCACTAACTTGCTAACAGCTGTGGCTGTATGTATATATTTGAGTCTGTGAATTTCATGTTAACCCTGTTTTGATCAGAGAAACTCCCCACTAAAGCGGTTCAAATATATAATTAAAGTCCCCCCTTCATCTATAAACGGCTTATTTTCTCCTCGCCACAAAGGCACTCTCACCAGATAATCAGTTTGAAATAAAAACACTTTATTTCAATTGTTCATTATACATTTTCATGTAGCAAATGCACTTTGATGGTAGTCATCACATTGCTTGGAAAATAAGATACATATATTGGGGTGGTTCAAGTCAAAATGCAAATACAGAGAAGATGGGGTGGGGGGTAAAAAAGAAAAGCAACAGCACGAGCCACTAAATTCAGATAGTTCCACTACATCAGGCTAAAACTGGTTTGTGATGGCTGCCGACCGCCATCATCCGTGGTGACGGCAATTAATGGTCAGCGCCGGACATTACAGCGTCTTCACTTTGAAAGAAAACAGTCAATACAACAGCTTTAAAAATGTGCTATTAAAAGTAATGAATGCGCTATACATTAGCCAGCAAAGAAAAGCATAAGGAGTCCATAAATAATGGGAACAATCATTAATCAGTCCTTTTGAGTGGACTCAAAGAAAACACCGTTTAAAATATTTCTTTTGCTGGTACATTTCTGTTAGGTCAAGGCTGAACGTTTCACAATATGACATTAAAACATTTCTGCACAGATAAAATCGATGCCACTAACTTTGTGAGAACTCGAAGCCGAGATTCAAAGCGAACCGACTGCTTTTGGGTCCGAGTTGTGCGCTCAAACAAGCGACGCGGACTGAAATGGCGAACAATCTCAGTCCTTAAGTGAGTTGCTTCATGTATGTGTATGTACAAATACAGAGCGCATGTTTCTGTGGCCTTTTTCTACATGTCAGCCACGCTGTTACGTCATGAAAATAAATAAATAAACATATGCTATTCATACAAATTGTGAATCCATTAAACTGGGCCTCGCTGTGCTGAGAACATGCTCATAACTTCCATAGATTTCCAGCTACTGTACACATCAGCTGACCAAACTACATCAACAAGGCAGCAGAGCACCTCAGGCAAGATGAGATGGATTTTTTGTTGTTTGATTTTTTTATTAATTTTTTTCACCCACATAAAGCGACTGGAATTGAGTTTTGCCTGAATGGCACAGCCATGTTATTCATTTTTTTCTCCGAGGCCGCCTCCTGATCCGATCAAGGTTCAGGCCAGCTTCTCGGCCGTCTCCATTTCTTGCTGGGTTACCTTCTCCTCAGACATGATGGTCACCCATGGAGATACTGACCGAGTGATGGTCTGCTTGGCAATGTTGTAGCGGTTGATGAAGGTAAAGAGGTGCCCACGTCCCCCGGGACCCTGAGGGGGATAGTTGCCGTAAAGTCCGATCGGCACGCAGCGGCCTTGCTGCTCCAGAGTGAAGCAACAGAAATCATATGTTAGAATAATTAAAAAATTAAACCAGAACTCATTTAGACTATTTCTGTCCTAAAATGGGAGGGACTATGAAATAAATCTCACTGCCCAACTTTAAAACTAAATCAAATTCACATTTGGTGGCTCAGCCTGAACCCAAAGGTTACAAGAATAACTCAGGATCATAAATAAAAACAAATTGTTTGCAAACAAAAATTCAACAAACAGAGAAAAAGGTTTTAAGATTTTTTTTTACCACATAAACGAAGCTGTCAGGACACGGCTGCTCATACTGGTAGATCTTATAGACGACCAGGAAAACCACACACACCAGGAAAGCCAGAGCACAGATCACCAGCAGGGTCACCTGAGGGAGACGGAAACACCTTCATCAGCGCAGGACATTCCTACCTGCTTGGTAAAGAATCAAAGAACGAGTATATTTAACCTGGGAAAGGAGGGATATGTACAGATTAGACCAAAAGATTTTATTTTTAATTTAGAATTGATTGCCACAGACATACAGTTCTAGTTTGTCCATGAGTTCCAACTCTTTAAAGTTGAAAGCCATCCTTGCCATTACCAAAATCTTTCACCTGTTCCACAGATTTTGGATTGGCTGGACCCAACCCAAAACCTTGACTTGCATATGAGTTTAAGTAACGGCTTCAAGTCTTCTAGGGAGGCTGCATGGTTTAGAAGTGTGTTTATGGGGATTTGGATTTTTGACCATTCTTCCAGAAGCTGTTCCCACAAAGTTGGGAGTAGGAACATGTCCAAAATGTCTTGGTATGCTGAAGCATTCAAATTTCCTTTCACTGCAACTAAGGGCCCAAAACCAACTCCTGAAAACCAACCATAACCCCTCCTCCACCAAACTTTACACTTGGCACAAAGCAGTCAAACAACAACCGTTTTACTAGCAACCAAAAACAGACTCACCCATCAGATTCCCAGATGGAGAAGTGTGATTTGTCACTGCTCTGCATTCCAGTGACACTTTACTGCATTCAACGCTTTCCATTACATGTGATGTATTGCTTGGATGCAGCTGCTCCTCAATGCAAACCCTTTCCATGGAGCTCTCTGCTCACCGTTCTCCAGCTAATCTCAAGGTCACATGATGGCTGGAGGTGTGTAGCAATTAACACTGTAGAAAGTTAGCGCCCTCTTCACACTATAGGCTTCAGCTGATCCTGCTCTATCAGTTTACGTAACCTACCACTTCTTGGCTGATTGGTGTCATTACCAAACACATCCATTTTTTTCTGATACAGAAGTGTAATATTGAAGAGCAAGGAAATGTCGTGACTAGATTAGTTGCACAGGTGGCATCCGATTACAGTTCCACTCTGAAATTCCCTGAATTTCTAGGAGCGAAACATTCCTTCACAAATGTTTGTAAAAACAGTCTCCTTCTTCTTGTTGTACTGTTTTATGGCGGTTGGCAAACTAATCAAAGTGCCTTACCGTCACCAACTGTTAAAGGGGTAAAACAAGGAAACAAGACTCATCCCCAGAAAAAAAATTAAATCATAGCTTTCCGAACTATATAATTTAACACAACATAATAAAATACATAATCAAATTTGTTCTCATAATTTCTAATTTGTCTCTATGTTACTCTGCCAGTCTCCAAGTTCCCCAGTTTAAATTTCACACTTTAAAGTACTTTCCAGCAGCTTTCACTATTATTTAGATTTTTTTCGATTTTCTTTGTCATCTGAGCCCTACAATTGATCACTGCTACCATGGAAAGTTCAAAAGCCTTCTTTTTTTTACAATTAATAAGTCTTCTGCAATTTTGTGACACTCTTTCAAAGGTTTTGAACTTGTCATTTGCGCCACCTTTGATTAGGGTCTTTCTGAGTGGGATAGGATTCTTTCTGCAGCTTCAGCATAAGTTATTCCGAGCCTAAGGTGGATAAAAAAACGCACCGGGATGATCACAGTAGAGATAGACGGATATATCTTCCAGCCGATATTAGCATTTTTTATGTATCAGCCAACATGTGCATGTGTTCACCGATTCATTAGTGAATCGGTGAACACAGCAGCCAGGCCTTTAGATCAGATGAAGCCCTTGTATTACCGCTAATTTCACTTCCTATCCATTGTTAATGTTTTCTTTATGTATTTATTTTTGTTTAGATAAAAATTGTGTTACGTTTGTTATTATTGTGTTATTTTGTCATGCAAAAGGAGAAAGAAAAAAGCAATATAAGTTCTAAGAATGGGCCCAAACCATCAGCTGCACATGTCAAGGATCAGTTACACTGTCCTTTAGAAATCTCAAGATAACACTCAAGCATTTTTACCATATATGTACTTTCTTCCCATCTTTTTACAATTTCAGCATTCATATCTATGATAGGCTGTTTGGTCTCATAACATCAAAGGTAATATTGAAACAGACTCTTAAAAGACAATGATGGAAATTTAAAAGTATGAATAAATCAACGCTTTCATCTTGTTAACCTTTTTAGGATTTTATGTAGCAGACCAACAAAAAGAAAATAATGACATGCTTTTCATTTTCATGAAAATCGGAAAGTGATTTTCAGACTCCTTTACTTTAATACTCCTTAATAATTGTCAAGAGGTCAGATAATTGTTTAACAGTAGGGCTGGGCAATATGGCCTTAAAACTGTATCACAATATTCTGTGTTAATAGCACGATAACAGTCAAATTGAGAATTAAAACACTCGTTTTTTAGGTAGCTGTGAATTCATGAAGCAATCATAGACCCACAATACTACAGTTCTCTTAGAAATACAGGTTTATAATAGGTTTCTTCAGGACAGAAGTTACATAAAGCGTGATTTATATCACTAATGTGCCAATGCAAAAAAAAAATCACCCTTTTATAAGTTTTTCATCATCACTAATTCTGAGTTACTGCTCAGACAATAAATCAAAATTGTTCAAGTGACTAGATTTCTGTCCCTATAACCATAGACGATACGATTAATTTCCAGTTATGAATTGTAAAAAAGCTCCTTTCTGTCTTTGGAAACAACCAGAGAAAAAACACTTAGCATGTGAAAGAAAGTCCTCTTATCAAATACGACTAAAAATGTTGCTTTTTTTGCTGTAATGCAAAACACTAAGCGTGGTAGAAAACTGCTGACCGTCCTCAGGCTGAGACAAGAGCAATCAGTGGCAGCATCATGCTGTGGGAATGCTTCTTTTCAACTGAGCCATGGCAGATGCTCAGGACTGATGGTTTAAGAAACAGGCAAATGCTGCTAGTACCATACTTCATATTTTATTTGTAATAAATGCTTAAAAGCAGGTCTCATTTTATGTATTTACGTCTTTTCTGGATGCTGTGGTTTCACTGTATTGGTAACAAACTGTTTAGCGCTCCATGTCATGCATGTGGTTTATTTCCACCAGCATGAAGCTTCGGTGGCCATCTGTGAGGCTGAACTGTCAGCTCTCTGGAGGGTTATGTAACAGCTACTAAATAGCGGGGCTGCAGAAGAAGAAGAAGTGGGAAAATCATTTGTTTATAGGCGTTAAAACGATTTTTATTACTCAGGATAAATATATGATATACTCCTGCACAATGTTTCTTTTTTCTTTTTTTATGGTATCTGATGCAGTTAGTGATGCTGGTCCTGTTGTTTAGTCTGGTAGCTTTTATCTGTCTGTCAAATCCTACAGATGCAAAGCAGAGCAGACAGCAGAAAGTAAAGCAACAGGAGCCGGTCTGTGATAAAAGCCTTGCAAGCTGCAGTTCAAAGCCCCATTCTCTGAGACACAGCTCAGCCTCTCCTCCAAATATCTGAGCGTTAAAACTTCATAAAAGAAGCTCACGGTTCTGCTAGAATCATCTGTTGATTTTAAACAACAAAATGAATCATTCAATAACCCCGATCTGTGCAGATTTAGCTGAACTCCACCTGTTTCATCAGCTATCCCTGCACTAAAGTAGCACTGGAAGGTGTGAACCGGTGCATGGTGGAGAAGGGGAGGTGGGAGAGAAGTGGAGGCCATCTCCATGGAAGCAGCTGAATTAATGAGAGCCCCAGGGCGGGGTTAAGTGAATCATTATGCATTATGGTTCCCTGTGTATCTGTACAATATGAGGACTTTAATGAGGCCTGAACCAAGACGCTTCAGCTGGATGAACAGATGTCCCAAGCCGAAGGAGGAGGGGACAGACGTCTGTCTTCGCTGTGAGCAAGTGGGAGTGGGGAGAGATTTAGGAACTGAGGCAGAAGAACCACAGAGGAGACATCCTTCTTACTTTGAGCCGCTCAGAGACACCTTCGATGATGCTTATGGAGAACTCTGCAATTTTAGGGGACCGTAGCTTTCCTTTCTTGTTCTCACCATCATAATCTGCCTTTGTCTTCACAACCACCTGGTCAAACACATGACACACACACACACAGCAGTAGAAGGGCATCTTGTGAGGAAATAATGGTTTCCAAACATTACTGAAATATCAGAAAATATGTAAAATACTTGATTTTAATTCTATATTTTACCTTATCAGGTGGGGGGAACTGCAGCTGGCTGGCATCTAACGGTGTGATGAGAGGGATGGTGTCAAAGCCATCCTCAGAAATCACCTTCCCGTTATTTTTCTCGGCGAAATTATTCCCCAGTTTCACCATTTTTCGCTGCACATTAAAAAAAGGGAGTAAATTAGAGCTTGTTAATGCTGAAAAGGAAATGCTGGTTTTCACGGTCAGGGATGATTATAGAGAAATGTTATGGGAAAAAAAATAAAAATACAGAAAGGATTAGGCATGATGTCAGGCGCTTTGTGCGGCTAGGAGGAAAAAGGCAGAGAGCAACAAAAGCGCAGGAGTGGAATCGCCATGAAAAGGACCAGCTGCATTTTAATGATTAGATGTTATATTTGAACAAAAAAAAAAAAAGGGTTTGTTTTCCTGCATGCAAACACTCACCAGCTCAGCGGAGGCGCGTTTTGAACCCTTGGCTTTTAGCGTTCCAGCCTTGCTGCGTGTGCGTATTTCTCTAGATGTGACGCAGCCGATTTGCGCGGAGCTGCTGTGCAATATGGCCAGCTGGGTTGGTGCGTCCCTCCTCCTGAGCTGCTGGATGCTGCTGCTGGTGGTTCCTGCTCGCACTACAAGTGATGTAACCTTCATACAGGCTGCAGTCAGTTTATGGGTTTTATTCCATATTCTTTTGTGCAAAATGATCAACCTTGCATGCATGCACGGTGCTGCACAATTTTAACTGTGGAAATTTAAACAGCTACAAATAAGAAAATTACATGAAATAAATACATATCTGTACATCATGTGAACGAAATCACTTTAAAGCAAACCCCGACTTTGAAAAATAAAATAATTAGATTTTTTGTATAGATAGGCCTTTGTATATATTTCTCTAAATTCATTGGTTTCTAGACAGGAGCGGAGCTAAATAGGGGGACCAGGGGTAGCCAAGGCCACCCTTAGCCTACCATTTTTTTATTTCTGCAGCACATCAAATGTAGCTTGCTTCTGGTCGCGAACCAGTTTTGCTTTTAATTGGTCCAGTTAAAGTGATTCATAAACAAATGTTGCTTGTTTACTTACTATTTTTCCAGCATACATTTTTTTTTAACCCATCAATAGGACAGCATTTATTCTGACCTCACATGTTTAGAGCATAGAGAGGGATCTTAGCCTAATAACCCACAGCATCATGGATCCCCCATCTGGTTTAAAAGCAGGAGGTGTTTTTTCTTTCTTCATATCAAAGTGTACATCTTTGCCTGGAGAGAAAATTGCTTTTTCTAGCTTCAATCTCAAACAATAAAAGCCTCTACTGGATCTGCATCTATATCAAAAAGCCTTCACCGGATCCTTTGGAGACTCACTGAATTGATAATGCTGCTCATAGCTGCAGCTCTCCAGCAATAACCTGTGGAGATCCCCAAACCCGCTCATATTTCATGTCATATTTATGCCCCAGATCAAATAGAAAGTGATATATTATCAAGTAGAAGTTCCCAGATAAAACTAAAGGAGTATTTTTAGAAAAAATGGTAAATGGATGCTATTGCATGCAGTGTTTGTCTTATGTAACCTTAATTTCTCTTAAGGCTTTTTACACATTTTGAAAAATATTACAATTTTAAAAGATCTATTTTCATGAAACCCACACAGATGAGATGGTATAAGCGCTGAAGCTGTCCGTTATAAATCTGCATCTCCCCAGACTTAACTGAGCTGCTGTTTTGTTCAGCCCTGTACTGGTTTCCTCTTCCAACCCACTGGCTGTCCTTTTCTGTTAGTGTTAAACGTGATAATGAATGAATGTCTGCAGTCAGTTTTAAATGTTCCTGTTTTAGATGTTCCTAAGTGGCCAGTGAATTAGTTACTGCAGCTTTGTAAGCATTTTTCTCACTGAAAGGTATCTGAACTCCTCATTTTTTATAGGTGCCTATATATCAGAATATAGAGGCCATGAAAGAAGGAGGGAAACAACCTGCTATAAACCACTTTATGTAGCTCTCTGTCGAAGGAAGAGAATTAGATCCGTTAGAGAAAAATAACACAGTTTTGCTCTTCAAAGCATTACCCAGAACCAGACATTTCAATGGTATAGCTTGCCAGACCAGATTTATCCACAGTGTCTCTTCATTATGTAGCTACCTAGAAATATGAAAAAAAAAACAAGCCTGTGGCTGCATATTATCCCTCTGCTTGTTGCCAGGTTACAGGGCCAATAGAATGGGATTAGGGAGAAGCTGTATTACTGATCACATCAAACCTGTTCAAAGCAAAACTGTGGAAAAATTTAGCTCAGAGCGGAAGAGTAGAATAAATTATTACAGCATTTTACATTAGCATCATGAATTTAATAACTCCATGAAATTCATCTTAGTGAGTTTAAACATTAAAGGAAAACATCATTCACTTTTTTTGATTCTTGTTTTTTTTTGCAAATTTATCGTACGTCAAAAAAAGAAACCCCCAAAAATCTTTATTAGAGAAATATTTTCCACTGATAATCACTGAGATGTATCCATGTGCTTAGACCCCTCCTGTTGAGCTGACTGAATATCCTTTGGAATATAACACATCCATGTCTATATAAGGTCTCACTGTTAACAGAGCAGATCAAACCAGAAAGCACACAAAGTCAAATAATCGCTTGCAGACCCTGGAGACCAGAATGTTTCAGAACTAAAATCAGAGTTGATCCAAAAGTGTTCCTGTAGCGTTAAACTTTCAAAAAGTCATCCTGATCACTATGTTTAGTTTAAAATAAAAGATGTTTTGAATAACTGCACCCATTTTAGATCTAGCCACTCAACACAACTGGGTAATCAGTGAAGAACGGCCCCAGTTAGAAAGGTAACCAAGAAACCCACCCGTTAGAGTGGCAGAGCTCCTACACCCATCCCAAGCTATAAAATATGTATCCAGAAGGTCGAACAATGTAAATATACATCTTCAATCAGGCCTTTTGGAGCAATAGGGGGGTGAGCATGGCAGCCAGTTTGTCTTTTGTGGAAATAAGTCATACATTTAGTCAGATGAGGGGAAACTAGATGAAACCAAATGGATCCTTTTGGCCTGAATGTAACACAGTATCACAGCATGTACTGCTACCTGGCCAACAATATTTCAATATGAAGCATGGGGGTGGCAGCATCATACTGCGGGGTGTGTTTTCTGAGGCAGGAACAAGACTAACAGCCTGGAGAGACGATAAGATGACAGGAGAAAAATAATTAAAAAATTACTAAAGTAAAACAGCTTCAGAGGTCTCTGCATTTCAGCCTCAGGGGATTATTCATCTTTCAGCACAAAAAAAGACCCCATGTAAGGAAAATCTGATTTCAGGAGTATTTTTTGTTCTCTGGCCAAATACTTAGATTCAGTCTCAGAGAAGGTCTAAGAACATCTGTCCTCTGATGCTCCATGTGTATTGAAATTAATGCAATTGGTTAGATTTAAAACAGCTCAAATGTGGATGGAGGAGATCATCTGATGACTGATGCTCCCCATCAAACATGGCTGAACTGAAAGATCCTCTGACAGGACCAGGAGAAAAAAGTTTTTTTTGTGGATGGTTGGTGCAGAATTTTAAAAGAATATTACACTTTGGAATAAAGCTTTAGCACCAAAAACCTCCTAGCATCAACAACAACCAAAGAATAATTCATTTTTTTTTCTTTACATTTGCATCCAGAGGGTTGGGGGACTTGAGGAAAGGTTGCTATCCAAGGGTCTCCTTGGATATGATGATGAGGCATTTAGAAGAGGAACCAAACTTTCAAGCATAAAAGGAAGAAAATTTCATTACAAGCTTCTGGTCTTTTATAAAGCTGTGCTGCCTCAACATATTCTGCCTTCGGTGTTCCTGCAGGTCCATGAGTTCTCTACTCAGTCCCTGCTCCAAACTGGTGTTCTGGTTCTGGAACACGGAGTGGTGGACTACTCTAAGCATGCCCGAGGATGACGTCAGAGAAGCAGTTTAACAGAGAGGACGAAAAATTATCCAATTGGCTCAGAAATTTCATTCAATCCTTTTCTAATATGCAGTTATGCATTCTTTGGTGATTCAAGGATAGAAATAAGTACAGAGCAAACAGAGCTCAGAAAGAGGGAATACTCTAAATTGATTGGTCATCATGACTGGACTATTTTTTTTT